GAAGCAGACTGCCCCATCTTTCTTCTGCTGAGCAACTGGTAGATTTGAACCACTGACCTTTTGGTTAGCAGCCAAATTCCTCAACCACTATACCACCAGGGCTCCTTTCTTTAGGAGTAGTAGAGCTAAATATCCCAAATTGTTCACACATTCAGTTGCTAAATCACCATCTGGCTTTCCCTTAGCCTCCCTGGGATATTTGATGATCTGTGAAAGAAGCAATATTAAAAAGTGGTTGAAAAACTTGTGTCATCATACCTGTCACCCTTAAAGACCATGCTATAAAGCCACATAAAAAAAAAAAAATTTTTTTTAAAAGACCCACAAGGTCATGTTAGTACTGCAGTAATTCACACAACATTGAGCTGGGCTAGGATTGGCCACCTTACACTGAATTCTCCCTACAAAAGGCAACTAAGCAATTCTGGGCTCCTGCTGACATTGTTTTGTTAGTTGCTGTCAAGTTGAGTCTGACTCATGGCGACCCCATGGGTACAGAGTAGAATTGCTACATAGGGTTTTCTGGGCTGGAACCTTTCAGAAGCAGATTGCCAGACCTGTTGGGTAGGTTCACCAACCTTTCAGCCACCCAGAGTTACAACTTCTGAGTTATCATTACTGAGGAGTACTTCATGTTTAAAAGTACCTAGTTAGTACTTGGATGGGAGAGCATCTGGAAATACTGGGTGCCATATTGAAGACACTCTGAAGGTACCATGGTTAAGTGCTTGACTGTTAACCAAAAGGTCAGTGGTTCAAACCCACCATCAACTCCACATGTAGAAGACATGCTGACCTGCTTCCGTAAAGATTACAGCCTTACAAGCCTTGTGAAGTAGTTCTGTGCTGTCGTGTGAGGTCACTGGGAGCCAGAATACAACAGCAGCACTAGGATAGGTTACACTCTACAATGTATAAAGCAGTTTTATGACCAGGATCTCACGGTATTCCATGGCCCTGTAGGAAAGATGCTTATGTTCTCAGAGACAGGAAGTAGCTGCCCTGCAGGCAAGGCCAACACTGAAACCTCTTCCCACCCACTCCTCCTGTGCTGGTGTTCGGATCATCAGTGGGTGTTTAACTTCCTCCTACTGTTGCTAATGCCATCTTTTCTATTCCTCCTGGAACAGCTGAAAGCGAATGCAGGACCACTGCCCAGACAAACAGTGGCCCAGAGGCGGGTGTGGTGTCCGGGGCTGTGGCCATCCCATAGTACACAGTCATTTGCAGACATGATGCTCTGCACCAGAAGTGCCCAGTCAGTGCTGTCCCAGGGACACTCTGCAGTCCCACGCCTGGGTCCCAGGGGTACATTGTCAGCCAAAGATGGAGCTGGAGCAGCCCCCACAGATCAGGGACCCTGAAGAGACACATTTTTAAATGGGCAAGGCTGAACTGTAGGTCTAAGGATACACAGTTGGTGAGGTTACAGTTTATGTGTATATTTTATTACATATAGTATTTTGTATTAAAATATGTATCATGGGTACACTAGTCATCTTCACTTGACTACATCTACACAGCACCATCTGCACATAAGGAGATCCC